AATTTAAGTGACGGTATCGCAATTTTTCACAGGAGATTCAAATAAAAATTACGGAATGCTCTGAAAAAATTTCGTGACATTTTGGTCGTAAAAAATTTTCAAGATCATCTTCTCCAAATTTTTCGCAAATCTGAACATAATAAAAGCGGATATTAACTCCTTTTTAATGAATAAATAATACATAATGATAAAAAATAATATGCAAAAATGAGTAGCCAATTATGCACTTGCGAAGCGCGCCCCCTTTCCTAGTTGATTGAAAATTCAACCCATTTTCGTATCAAATATTAATGTAGAATAGAAAATTCAAGTTATGAAATTTCCATCGTATTTTAGCAAAATCATATAAAATACCAGTGCAATCTCCGAAAACCCCCAACAAAAATATAAATCCCTGACTCAGAATACCATAAACCTCCCGTCCCTCACCTCCTCCCCATAACTTCTCAACATCTCCCTACATTCCTCCCGACTCACAACTCAAACATTTTTTGTTCCCTCAAATTTACGATTCCCCTATTCAAATTTTTGTACATACACGCATGAAATATATTCAACGAATTTATTGAACGTTATCATTGACCAAGCGTAAATCGTAGTTACACATTGAGGAATATAAATGCCTCTTAAATCCATGTATACACGTTAATGCGTGCTAAAGGGGGAGAAGAGATCTTATATTCATACGTATACATATTCCCCCCTTTAACCACTGCGGAAACGAAGGTTTCCCATCCGACAACCTCGCATTCCATTCTCCCGCCATCAGCAAATAATAACGCCCGATGCGCGCCGATGGCTTATCACGACCGAGGAACACACTCCAGTAACCCCCCACCACTCTTACCCTTCATCGTGAAAACGTGCAAACGCTACACGCTTCTTCTATTCCTCGGATTCATTTTTTCTCTATTTCGTTGTTTTTTTCTTCTGTTAAGGAATAATTCTTGTATGCGCACTCGACCGTGTGTAGGTGGGATTGAAACGGATGAACGAGTCGTACATAACGTGTATATGCGTGAAAGAAACAACGTTTCGTTCACGCTCGACAGATAGGATTGGAATTATAAATAGATCGACGATTGTAGTTGAGTGCATCCAAAGGCTAAAGAGCATTCTTTGAATATTTTTCTCAAGTTTTTCTTCCTTCTTTTTCTCTCGAAACCCTAGAAGTTGAAGTGGGGAAGCGGAAAGATGAAGGTTGAGATATAAATTTTAGTTTTCAAGTGATAATTGGAGGGTTTAGGATATCTTGGAAATTCTTGATGAAGCGGAAAAACGTCATGTTACCCAACTTTTCTTGAAATATGTTTCGTCAGGTTTCTCGAATCTCAATATATTTTCGAAAAAATTGGTCTTGACGGGAAAGTCGCTGAGCGAGGGAACAGATTTGTAGGATTAAAAAAACAGTGAAGGCTTTGAATATTGAAAATTGCAAATTGGAGGATTCTTCAAACAAGGGTGAATTATTAATGTAATTAAAGCATCAGGCTCTAGAATTTGGCACCTTATCTATTCATTCAAAATTTTCCCTGTTTGAGAAAATTAAATGATGATATGTGGACGTCTGCATAAGGGCCCATTTCGTCGATTCTAGTTTCCAAGATGTTCACGTTTTTGTCTCGGCAGCTCCCACGATTTTCTCCAACGACATCATTTTTCATGCTATTATAGGTAATTTTGGGCTTGAAATGTGCGAATTGTTTCAAAAAATATTTACCGGAGCATACATAACTCTATATCCACATATCTTTAGTGAAGTGGTGAACTAAAATAAGTGCAATTTTTTTGAAAAATTCTTTTTTGCTTGCTGAAAAAGTTCCATTTTTGCACTTATCCTAGTTTATCACTTCGCTACAGATATATTACGTCCACATATAGAAAAAATCCGAAAATTCTGACTCAAATTAAGAAGCCCCCCACGAGAAAAGGGTGTCCAGGGGGCGAAGCCCCCGGCGGGGGGGGGGGGGCCCCCCCCCCCCCCCC